AATTACTTCTCATAAGTCAAGTCTTTATTATTGACTTAAAAACTTTCTTTTAGAAACAAAACATCGCTTAAATGTTTTCATCCTTTAGAAATAAGTTATAAAGAAGAAATTATGTATAATAAATAAGTTGAAAATATGAAATAAATCTCAAATACTCTTCATCTGCCAAACACATACTCAAATTTTAACAGTATTTTAACCAGTTTATATTTTACCAAATCTCTGATTCCTGTTATGTTGATGATATGCCCTATTTTTCTTTCACACATGTCACTGATTACAGCTCCGATGCAATTCAAGACGCCCTAGAGAAAAGATTTCTTTAATAGAGCCTAAAGCACTACAGGTGGAGGTCCAAATGTGGCATTCTGTACCATAATTCGAGGAGAACCACCATTACGTTTCTCTAACCTATTTGTACTTTTATTCTCCCTATGGTAATTAATGGTGTGCCTGCTGCAAAATACGCTTAAGACCTTTACATAGAAAAAACTGATTTTATGGAAATATAAATAATGTATTGCTAGGGTATACCCTTTGTAGTATTAAATTATTTTGCAGTATATAACAACACCGAGACCCCCCCCCCCCCCCCCCACCTCTTAAAACAGTTGGGAAGTGCTAAAGTTTTAGACCATCTGTTTTTTCACAAGCACAAGTGTAGAGTACATTTTAAAAAATACGCAATAATCAGGCGAAGACAATTTTTTTGCAAAATCGACCTCAGAGCCCGGTCGAAAGTCGGTCAAATTTGTAAACCAAATTCTTCTATTTGAGACAAGGTAATCAATAGTAGTCAAATTTTAATTGTTATATTGCACAATATATTCATATAAGTCGATTTCTACATATTTATATTATTAAAATATTGGTTGTACCTTAATATTAACATCAACTATCTCTTCCCACAGGTCTTCTTTGGCATATTTTATGAACGTACAGTACCACACTCCGGCATTGTTGACAAGAATGTCTACCGGACCAAACGTGCTCTCTGAACGCTGTATCATTTCTTTGACCTAAAAGTTTGTACAAAAACTAATATTTCAATCAGTTCCTACACAGATAACTCTAAAATACAAGATGCAACCAGGAAATCAATGCTGATTTATTTTAACTTTCTTAAAATTTCCGATTAACAATATATAACATATAACACATTGAGAGAGAGAGAGAGAGAGAGATAAGAGAGAGAGAGGCCGATGGACGGAATCCACTTTTGTACCTCGTTCCTTTTTGTCACATCACATTTCACGGCTATTGCTACACCACCTTCTTTCTCGATTTTGTCTTTTGTCTCTAATAACATTTTTTCTCCCCTGGCTACCAAAACAACTTTAGCACCCTCTGCTGCCAACATTTTAGATATGGCGGCACCAATCCCAAATGAAGCCCCTGTTACCACGGCAACCTTGCCAGATAGAGGCTTCTCTTCTGGAAAATTCAATGGATACATATATTTCATTGTTTGTTAGACGTAGATACTGTCAGCTAACAAAACTGGGAAATAAAAAATATATAATCAGCGTCAGAGGGCAAGGCGGAAGACAACCATTCTACTCACCAGTATATTCTTTATTTTTCATATAAATAAATCAAGTCCATGATTAGTAGATAAAATAATCCCCATCCTTTCAACAAATGATAACAATAATAATACTATGAATAGACATGATGACAAAAAGCTAATGATAGACTGTATGTTATCAATTGCCTTATATAAGTCAATGCAATTCACATGTTCAACCTACTAAAGTAGAAGAGGAGGCACATAACTAGGCCTCACAAACGATAATTGCTGTTTGCTAACTCAAAGCTTTAAAAAAAATTAGTTAACGACTCCAGCCACAAATAAAGTACCCCAACGTAAAATTAGTTGCCAAAAGCCCAGCAAACAACTAATCCGTTTATAAGACCTGGTACTGACAGAGAATAGCCAACAATTCCCTGTAGTAAAGTTATATATTATATATTATGTATCCTCCCCAGGGAGGTGAGAACATCTATAGTGCAGCAGGGCAAAAAAAAAAAAAAAAAAAAAAAAAAAAAAGACCAGGCTTCTCTCACATACATACATACATTTCAGTTAAATAAATAAATAGTATATATATGTAAAACTTCAACCTTCGGGTTGTAATATTCCAATAAAAGATTATTATCTATTTATTATTATCTATATTAAAAAAAAGTAATCTGTCAACCCACCTGAACCTTGAGTGCCGGTGCGAGTTGCCATTGCACTACACGTCTTGCACCAGACTGGCTTTGTATTGGAAGCGGTGGCCTGGTGGTGGACCGACCAAGAGGCGGAGGGAATAAAATAAACCCTGGGCGTTGCACCACTGGTATGAAAGACAGATGTGGTGTTACGCAAGGTCTAGACAGACGTATATAAGAAAAGTTAAGAAGTAGGTCATGTGTGGTTTAATTGAATTTCAACATGTCTAACGAGGTACATGCTGATATATTTATATACGGGTGTGAAAATAAGGAATGTCCGCACCGAGGTACCGAGATTCTAAGGATCATGCCAAAAAAATTCTTGAAACGATGACCTGTGACCTTTTGATTTTAGATATCCCTAGAAAATTCATCGAGAGAGCATACATGAGATCGGGACCGACATAAATTGGATAAGCAGTGAAAGCACTACGGCATATATGACGGGCACATGGTTTCTACTATCACCTGACAAAAGAGAGAATTAAAGTGGGAAATTCAGTAACTAGACCCAACCTGGCAGATTTCACGATATATCATATAACAAAAAAGGGACCTCAGAAAACTGTGCAGCTGAATTTCAAGGTGCTACATACATGAATAGTCTGCATATATAGTATTTCAATTTCCATATTATACAGAGTTGATAATTTTACTTTTCCACATTGCACTAGCACAGGAAAAGCAAATTCAATAAAGGCATATCATCAGATGATGCACGTTTCATCTGCAGTGTCAAACTATATATGTCCCTTTAACTACAGACATTCCTAGGGGTCACCAAGGCGCTAAAAACGAACACACGAAGATCAGACAAGAAAGGTGACAAGAGTCTAACGCCATGATTTCGTCCCCCGTGTGTGGTGAGGGGCCACACACAAAAAAATAAGACATTTACATTGATGCTCATAAGTTAAGCAACACCCCGATTTTTCCAAAAGTTTCTTCTATCATGATCATCATTTCATTTGTTAGTGGGATAAAACATATTTCTGTCATATTTTATAAATGACTTATTCAAGTTGAATATTTCTGTTAAAGAAATACACCAGATAGCTTATTGTAATAACCAAAATGACGGTACCAAAATATGCCAAATCATGTGTCTAAAAAATATGCTCACACAGCAAAAAGTACGTGCTGATTAAAACAGCTTATAATGAAAAAATAAAGTCCAATCATCTTAGAATTAGTTTTAATAAAAGAAGACTGTAGATGATAGATGATTAATCGGCTTTTATGCAATAAATGTCGGGTGCGGCTTCCCTGGTTTTGAACAACAGCTTCACATTGTCTCCTGCAACTTGCCACCAAATTCTGTCGATCTTGCCTTGGGAGCCTTTCCATTCCTCAATTACTGACTGCTTGATCTCTCTTATGTTTCCTACTAGAGGTTGTCTCTCATTTACTGCTCTGCCAACCATACCCTAAGTATGTTCGATTACATTGAGAATTGGTGAATATGCAGGCCAATCCAAACATGGGATACCATGCTGTTGCAGCGCGTCTTCCAAGGACCGTGCTTTATGGATTGTCTTGCACCAAAATTATTTTTCTTTCTGGATTTGCTTGAATGTGTGATTGTATGCGCCCGAATGGTATTTCGTCTCCGTATCGTTGACCAGTGCACCTTCCTTGAATGACGTACAGTTGCAATTTTTCATCATATGAGAAACCGCACCATACTATGACGGATACTCCGACACCCTGAACACGTGGGAGAACACAATCATACTGAAACGTTGGTTTGGACCTCGTCAGTCCACATGACCTTTTGCCTAGTCCTGAGATTCCATCTTTCTCGGTATCTTGCTCGTGACAGTCTTCTCTGCTCGTGTCTGCTGTTTGACGGGGGCTTTTAACGAGGTCTTTTAGATGGAAGTTCAGCTTCTAAAAGATACATGTTGACTCTTTGCCTACTGATTCGATCTCTTCATAATCCAGGCCAGATGTGTCTCAGTCGTTTGGCTGACATGAACCGGTCCTGGTGGCATAGTCGAACCAAAGATCTTCTTTCTCTTGCCTCGGTTAATATTGGTCTACCAGAAAGAGGCTTGTCCAATACAAGATGAATTTGGCGCCATGTTGCAACCAGCTTGGACACTTGACTTGGTGCTACTCTCTGTTGCCTTGCAATCTGTCTCTTTGGCACCCCAGCACGGTGGCTTCCAATTATTTGCAATCTGATTACCTCAGTGATTCTTCTTCTAACCACTGGTTGGTACAACATAACAAATTATGCCCATGAAACTAGCCAAACTGAAAGCTCCCCATCGCATACCCAAACTGTGTTCTTCGCAAGTGGTACCCCTATTGCATATTCTACCCTGTCCAACAGTAAGTAGCACTCATATATCAAGGTCCTGTAATTCAAAGTAAGAACAAAATAAACATCTAGCTACTGTACAAATTTTGCCCCAATAAAAAAGCTTGGTTGCTTAGAAATTAGACAAATTAAAAAGAGTTGCTTAACTTATGAGCATCAGTGTATAAGCATATATAATCAGTTATTTTAATATTTATCAATGTATCTGCTCTTTTGTTTGCTTGCTAGTCTAGATCTATTTGATTTATTCACATATTTTCGCTTATTAATTTGCTTTGTACTCTAGTGTATACATCATAAACATACCGTCTATAGACTCGTAGTGGTAAAATAGAAATTCAGAATTCAAAAATGGGTTTATAGGTATTTATTTTCTCAACAGTTTTGGATAGCATACAGGTAGGCATTTTTAGGAAAATTGTTGAAGTTTAATTAATTAATTAATTAATTATAGGTACGAGACGTAACGGCCTGATGACCAAAGCTGAAGCATTCAACGGAATCAACACCAAAGCATATTATATCACACCCCATGCCTTCTTCGATAAAACTGGGACATCTCCACGTGATCCTGCTGACACCACAAGGGCAGCCGTGGGCGTTCTTGATAGAAAAGGTAATGATAGGTAACTGTTGAAGGCAGCACTGATAACACAATCCAGAATGAACTGGTACCTATAAGCTGGCGATGGGTGTGATGGGTGTTTATAGTATATAGCAAATGAGAATGTATGATATTTTTTATGCTTTGTTTATTACATTTAACGAGATTTTTTTGCACATGCCTACCGGTATATTGCGAGCAGTGTGTTCTTCTTTCTGTTTAAAAGGCCCTATTAAAAAAAAAATGCACATTAAAATTAATGAGCCCTGCATGTCCAAGTATAGTAAAATAGACTTATGGTGAAGTCATTGTAGTTCGTTTTCAACAAGTATAACTTGTTTTCCGTTAGGAGTTCTTCGTGCAATGACTGCCTCAGGACCACGTGTGTTCCTCAACATCCCAGATGTTGGTGAAGTGCGGCTGCGCTGGCCGATAGCACCTGTTCACAACGACGGAAACGTTATTTTCAAAGAATTGGAGGCGCTTAAGGTTTATATCCACTTTACAAACCTAATTGTTCACATGAAATTGTGTATGTTTTGTTTGTTTATTTAAGTGACCTGTGCTTTAATGCAAGTGATACAGATACATTTTTTGTTTTTGCACCCAGCCCTTATGGGCTTATAAGTCACTGTTTTATTTATGTTATTCTAATATATTAATGAACAATGTGTAATATAATCGATAATTATACTCTTTTGTATTATTGCTATAGATTTCAATTATATTTCAAAACAGTTATATTAAACAAGTTTCAATTTCATAGAAAAAAAATGAAAAATTTATATATTTATTTATTTGGTTGTTTAATTGCAGCCTTTTATCTATTTACATGTATCTTTTATTTTTATTCATTATAGTTTTATTAATTCATGTTATCATCAGCTAGTGACTACTGAATCCAATTATTGAGTAGTCTAATGTCATTGTCATTCCAATCTTAGGATATGGTGATGGAACAAGGTAAATACATGGGTCTGTATAGGACATCACCGGTGGGAGATGGCAACAGTACTGGAAGTGTGACCCCTATGACTGGTAACCTTGAACTTGTCACCGGTCCCGGAACGAAGGACCCCCCTGGAGACCACGTGCACACGTAATGACCGGAATCTTGATGTGTTTTATTTTTTCTCAAGAGAAAGATAACGTCGGACATTTTAATGTGTTTTTTTTCTTAAGAGAAAGATAACGACGGACATTTTGAATTTGCTTTGATGAAAAAGACAATCATACATTTAAGTTTGATAGTTAAATCACTTTCAGATAAATAATGTACATTTATCTGGAACTTCTCCCCTCCATTGTAGAACATTTCAATTCATCATTGTTTGACAAAAACATGTATCAACAGTCTCTGCATGTCTTAGAAATTGCGTATTTTAAATCGGTGTGTTGTAGTATTTGAACATAAAATCATTTCGGTTAATAAAATGCGTTGGAGTATTACATAGGCTTGTCTTGCAGCCTTCGAATCAATCCTACTGATGCCGCCGCCTTGCAGAGCGGTAAAAAAGTGACCGTGAGGACATCTACCGATCAGGGACACTCCCATGTGTTACGTTTAAAATATGATGCTGCTAAGAAGACTTACATGATAAATAGGTATGTTAATATGAGATGATCTTTAAAATTTCACCTAAGAATTCATTTTTGATATAGTCGCTGATCTTTGATTTTTAAGAAGATACACATAAGAACACAATTTGGACAGCAAGCACTGACTTAGTAAACGTTGTTTTTGACCCTCGATTTGTTCAACTTATCTGAAAACCATTTGAATGTCATGGTTGCGAAGACTTATATATACATATAGTACATTGAATTATTTTCATTAGGTAATCTTCCATGGTGGTAAAACATGGCAATCTGAAATTCACCTTCACCATGACTCTCATGAAGTTAATTAAAAGAGTTTGTAAAAAACTACCAAGAAAACAATAAATGTGTCTTCCCCTCCTTGTCCTCAGGTGCGATGGTAAACCGGCTTGTTGGGATGGACACCCGTTGCAGTTGAACATGACCTAGAGGGCAGCACGTTGCATGCTTTGGCACAAAAATGTCAAGAGGGGAACGACCCGCCACATACTATCTATTAGTCAGGGATAAAATATTTTCAAATTTAAAACATTTTATTGCTTTTATTTGAATAATTATTTATAAACAATGCTTAATTAAAATGTTAAATTTGCAAATAAGGTTGAAAATAAATAAATAGAGCAGTGATCCTGACATAGTGGATGAAATCCACTACTAAACGCCAAGCCATGTTTGACAAATCAATAAAGTCTGATTAATCTAAACTCGTCCTTATTAATCTTAGAATTAAATGTGATAAACAAGCGGTTTGGTCACACTTATTTGCAGGGACAGCTACATTGTGTTAGTTGTGATAAATTTCTACTCACGCAATCTTATAATTTTTACATGTCGAATTTTTCAAAGGTACGGGATTCGAGAAAGAAAATATTTTTTAAACAATTTTGACGTTCATTTTAATCAAACTTTTTTATTTTGATCAAAAACATTCTCACACTCCTTGGCATATTCTATAATTATATAATAATAATGATTTAATCATTAAGTAAAATAGATACCTCAAATCGCATTAGCTGTTGTTCATATTACTTGGGACACAAAAAATATATTCATCCACATCTAATTTTGTAAGAGGAAAATCATTAAAGTAACAAATAAATAAACATTTTGGGACTTGACGTTCCTTCATTATTTTGTTGATAGAAAGTCTCTGCATATTTCTATTACGTCCTATTGAAATAATGAAATTATTACTTCTTCTTAGAGTCATTTTACAGTCAAAATCTAGGAATACTTACGACCGTTTTCTTTGATTTAAGCCAACCTCAGTTATCGTAAACAAGTTTTTATAGAGATTTGACACGAGGTATTTTGACAATTTACAATTTCATATATTTCATATTTTCAAGAATATATATGTAACGTGACAGAAGGTTCCCCGTGATAAAGAGTCCGCTTTTCATTCATTTGTTCAGGTAGTTTTTTACCCACTTTGGTCAGGCTTACCGTAACCATAATAAGTAAATGGAGGGAGGACATTCTCTTACACGGACCCTCAGTTTCGATTCACCGGAAAAAGTGTGTGAACTTTACCTAATGGGGCCAACACTCTGTTAAAAGCTATCTAAAACGGTTGAGCAAACCGACAAGGAAACCTAAAAATCGTCTTTAGTCCTTTCCTCTTCTCTCCTTCCCTGACTGCCTTTTGTTATCGGGACTTGATGGAAAAGGTATATTTTGTCCATGTAGCATAGTTTCGAACATTTATCACGTTGGTGACAGGTCAACATCTACATGTAATTTATATAGATTGGCTATCACTGGGCGAAGGAAATCGGGGGAGGGAGGAGGTTTTTACTCATAATTAAAAAGGAGTCCACAAAGCTATGCCGCCGTAATCAGGACTTGCTAAAAGGCACGAGTTTTGTCCTAATTACTTTTCCGTTTTTATCAGTCACTTTCTGCTGTATAAAACTCTCCACCACAAACGGCTTAATCTCAGCCGGCTGTTCACGCAGCTTACTTTCTCTTTTTTCTAACGCTTTTCGATATTCCTCTAATTTTTGATGTGTTCTCTTAGCATCCGTGTCAACTTTCAAGAACGCTTCAGAAAAGTCGTCTGTTAAGGAAATGGCGTCATTCATCTTCCGGTGAGACGCAATTGACTCAAAAGGTTTGTAACCAAATACGTCATACACATCTTTACAGATGTGGTCTATTTCTAAAGCAACGTGGAATGGAATTTTGTCAGTCCATGCCCAGGCTGTTGCATTTGAATTCGTCCGCATGGTGCCGAAGTTCCCGTTCCGTGCCATTCCCATTTTTGTAGCCATCCAAAGCCACATTTCCACGTGCTTGGGTAAATCGAGATTTAAGAATTTATACACAGCCTTTGACGTCTCCATCGGTTGTGCAGCCATGTCTTCGTATTTTATCTGAAACAAAAATGATCGGTCGTATAAAATGTGAGTTGTACACGAAGGATATAAGATTTTTAGGGGATTACTCATAACTATTTCACCGCTTTGCTTCATTTATTAACAACATGTTGCATGGCGGTTAATTGGTGACATTTCTAAACAGTATAATTTTTTGCTACTCATGAAAAGCAAGCTTCACTTGATTTTTTCATAACATTGTAAGAAACAAAACAATATTACCTACATTGTTCATGTAACTGCATACCCTGTACGAATTTAACGACCACAAATGTTAACAAGATTAAAACGGGCTTTTCTATGAAAGAAATGGATTCTGAAATAAACACTAACCTGCATGATGCGACCTGGATACACTTTGTCCAACTTTACACGTGCGTTATAATCCCTCAGGATATCAAGGCAGCGCGTGCTAGCCTCCATCTCGACCTTAGCCTCCATTTCATGTGCCTGAAAGCGGGATATGAGCGCCCCACGAGGATCCCGAACAAGATGAATAATTTTCAGATTTGGATTATCTCGAAGCATTTTTTCGACTTGCCACATGCGCAGTCGGAGAGTTTTTATTGCTCTAATTTCACTTTGGAGGCATCCTTTTTGTAGGAGGGGAACGCACTTTTTATCGTTGGGCCAGTTAGTTGTGTTGATACATTTGATGTAGCCGTTTTCGTCCAGCAGACGGTGTCTACCTGGGAAGCCAAGGAAGTCGTGGAACTCTTTCTCAACCATCTGAGATCCATTATAACTACAAGGGGAAAAACATAAAGAATGTGGTCAGATCCTTATATGGCTGATTTTTTAAATCAAGCACATGCATCAGCGGGAGTACAGTGGCCCTGATTGTTAAAGGAAAATCTTGTACAAATCATTTTAGCTCAGAAACACAAAATTACAAGGAACGGAGTGCATGCCTTTATTTTAATTATGCAAATTCAATGACTAGGACTTAGTATATTAAATACTCTTTCATCCGATGGTACGGACATTGTGACTGACATGCTGACATTATACATCGGACATTTAAAATTGATGGCGGATATGTCCGACTGTCCGACGGTTTTTCGGGAACACTGAATCTTGTATAACTTACCCTACTCTTCGCTTATAATACGCCATGGTTTCTAGCGGCAGTTTATGCATGTGACACTTAAGAAAGTTGACGGCGGTGTCTTCGGCTAACTGGTATTCCAGGCCACGCCTTGGAGCAGGCCTAAGCAGGGAAATAAGTAAAAATAAGACAAACATAAACATATAAAATAAAACAAGTACTACTACTACTACTTCTACTACCGCTGCTGCTGCTGCTACTATTAGTAATAATAATAACAATAAATGGTTATGATATGGTAGCTAAACATTTTAATCTTAGATACTCGGGCCGATGAATCGGTTGCTATATTCGATGACGATGTATACAAATGTCGATAAATTAAGGGACAAGGACAAATGCCCCAAGAAAAAAAGGAAGATAAAATGTTTCTCAACTCTCTCCCTTACCGGACCGTTCCGTTTAGACTGGTCAGATTCCCTCTGCTGTCAATAACGCCATACAGCCCCCATAATGGCTCAAAGAAATAAAACGCGCGCTTATGCTGATTAAACAACTCCCCGAGAAACGACGAACCACTTCTCTGGTAGGTGAGGAGAATGACCTCTGTTCCTGGCTTGTCTTGGAAGGGGACTGCCATCTTGCGGGATTTTCCGTCGATCCTTGGACTGAAATCATTTGAGTTCCCGTCAGTTGCTGAAGGAAATAAAAACAATTGCTGCATACAATTTTAGTGGATGTGAAATATAAAAGATCTTATGATTCATTGAGATAAATGTATCAACGCACAGATGAGCTGGTTTAAAAAGGGAAAAAATCTGTGGTTGGGTTTACGGCTTTGAAAGAAAATTTCTTTATAAATTACACTGACACATTATTTACTGGAGCGGTCGTGACGTACCATTACATTTAGTACCTCGGGATGACAGACATAATGGGACTGAGTCGTGTCCACACAAGTACTGACTTTAAAAAAAAGTTACTCTAAATGTCCGCAAAATCCTGTCATCCCACCAGACACATATTATTCCAAGTACATGTACATGTAACCCTTCACATACCGGTACAAACGAAAAGTTTCAACACTCGTCAAAACTGCTGTGATCTCAGTGACTTTATATAAGCTAATTAGCGTTTCTCTTACCTGTCTTACCTTTTGCGAACTGAAACCATCCGTAAAGAAGGCACGCCGAGCAGACAGCATAGAGAAAGATGAACTTGTAGGTCAGGACACGGAGCCACATAGTGCGTATTATTGTGTAAACTCCAATCCCTGTGACAGTAATACCGGCAAAACAACACCAATGACCAAGCAAAGTTTACCCAAGTGCTATTCCAGTCCTAGTTAATTAAACGACGCATGGTACCAGTACACCCTGCATGTCTTCTCCTCTTGCAGCTCCTGTTCTCTAACGTCTCCTTCTGGCTTAGAAATAGCGCTCTACGAGGTCACAATTTAACATGATTTCTAACCAGTGCCCTCCTATGTCAAACGAATAATCGCGCGGTCAACCAAAATTCACAAAAATATTGCCGGCTGCCTTAAAGTGATCCCCTGGCGTTGACCCGGGTTTGGGATACAGATATCAGTATGACGCACCGGGTTTACATCTACCTGAGGTTGTCTTTAATATTATCTCACTCCACCATATTCATTGTATTCCTCTCTTCGGCTCAAATGAAGGGGCCATTGTTTAAAGAAGTCTGTATTAAACAACGCGTGCTGTTTATAACTCTCTGATCGTATCAGGCTGAAGTCTACAAGAATTAGCTACGGGTACCCCCTTCAACAGCGTACGAACCCGCCACTGATAACATCGGTGGATAGATATGCATATCTCTTGCGCCATCAATCTTAGGCGGTAGTGTTAAGTCTGTACGCTTAGTATTGTAGTCGTTGGCTTTATCTTTGACTATAGACGCGGAAATTAGACGCGCTGAAGAACTATCGAGTCCAGTAGTTGAGAAGTATACTTTTAAACTTGCATTAAAGTATTACAAGTGAGGCAGCTAGCTTATAGTCTGTGGGAGACAGAGAAGAAAAATTCAGCTTTCGTAATGACGCTCAAGCACGCAACCGAAATATAAACTTCTATAAAACTTATTTTTAAACAAAGAAAACATGCTACACGTGAAGGTTAAGACGCTTTCTGGACTCTGTGATGAATGTGGTTTTAAAACTTTTAAACCGGCTGTACAAAAAAGGACACACAGAGAAGAAAAACGCATTTAGAATGATGGAGACCACGGACTTATTTTGCGCTTCAAGGGAGGAATGCACAAAGCCAGAAATGTTTCCTTTATATGGAGAATTCTACCCTCAAAATTTCACTAAACTTATTTTGACAAACAATCTGAATCACCCTAACTTTATGTACAATCTACGTCACATCTGCATACATGTACAACGCAGCTAGGGTGTCAGGGCCGTAGCCTCCGGGGGGGGGGGGGCAGGGGGGGCAGCTGCCCCCCCCCTGTGATTTAGAATTTTCCACTCTGGTAAGGGACACCCCCTCCCCCCTCGGGGGCTTCGCCCCCTCGTGTCCGCTTACTGCCCCCCCTGGCATTTTGCTCAGGCTACGGCCCTGGGTGTGCATGTGCATATAGGCCGTGTAAGCATGCATTCAGTGTCGAGCAGATGTGTATCGTCAAAATCGTGAAAATCTTCCAGCCCGCCTCCTGTGGTGTTATCACGGATGGTGTGAAGAGATGCATACAAAGTATGCCTACAGTGCATAACTGGCCGACTTCATTATCACTGAATGACAATGTAGTACTGTGTAGTACTGGTGTATTCAGGATTTTGCTAACATGCATAAAATTTTATTCTGTAGGCAGAAACGAGACAACCATGTACCAATGCAAAAATAAATAAATAGATAAATAATTAAAGAAAGAAAATTAAATTAAAAAAGGTAACTGGATGCGTCATCCTACATCACTCAAGAATAAGAAAACTGGATGAATTGATATGAGAGCCATACATTATTTCTGATAGCTAAACATATTTCACTTGGACATTTATAATATTCAGAGACGAAGCAATTATTTCTGCGAATTTCTCTTTTTGCTTTTTCCCACGACTATCCACAATCCAACAAATTTAAAACATTGTAATGTAAAACACGACACTCCCCTATTGAGTACTTTATTTGCTTTTCTTTATTTGTTTCTTTAATGACGGTATTAAAAATTATGAAATGAAAAACTATGGGTAAAACAAAATAGATAATGTACATTTTTTGTTTTTGTTTTTTTATTTAAAAAAATAAAATGAGGGCTTTAGAAATCGTATCTTTTTCTGAGGTGTTTATATTTTAAGAGGCCTAGTTCCGAATATAATTCCGAACACGCCTCATCGACAACTCCCGCCAAAGCGGGATCTATTTTTAGCATCCACGCATGCGCAGTTGCATTAGGATCTTTCCTAGAAGTCCCCATAAATCCAGTGTCAACACCTCCATTTCTGGAATTTCTCTGCAAGTTTGTCCTTAAGTTTCCTGGCAGTTCTAGTCCCAAAAAATCATAAATGTGAGTAGTTGTTTCATACGGATATTCGGCGAAATCTTCATACTGTACTTCTAAGATCCGCCTTGGAAACATTTTCTGCAGTTTATTTCTAGCGTGAATATCACGTAACATCATGAGGCAAATGTTGCTCGCGAAAAAGTCAGGGTCGAACACCATGCCTTCCGTTAAAGTCATTTTAGCGGACAAAATTTGGCCTCTCGGGTCCCGCAGTAAATGTACGACTTTAAGTCCCGGATTCTCACGCAAAAGAGACTCCACCTGCCACATTCGGGTACGTATAGTTTTTACGACAGTCACATCGGATTGCTTGCACACGTTTTCAATAATGGGGACACATTTACCGTGTCCGAAACCTGTGTTTTTGTTAATGCATTCGTAATATGTGCTATTTTCTAATTTTCTGTGACGTCCCGGCCAAGTAACGAAACTGTGGGATTCTATCATTTGCTGTCCATTTCGTGACGTTTGAATCCGGGATCCAGTTAAGATCTGTAGAGGGATAGCGTGCATCCGGCAATTCAAGAGATCGTTAATTATAGCGATATGTTCCTCATATTCCTTTCCATGTTTCGGTGGAATTCTAGAGGAGAGATAAGAATGGAAATTGAATACATTGCATCAATAATAGTAAATTATACTAGTACTTTACAAAATTAACTTAAATTGACTTAACCTGTCTCTTTCTTTACTCATTTCCTTGGATCTAACATTTACTTTTTATACTACAATGTAGTACTTAATATTAATTGCGCACACTAACATGTACGGGTTTCATTACGTGTTATTCAACACTCTTCAATGTTTAACTGTACCTGTGGAATGACTAGTTACTTTATGTGCAAGACTAAAATAATAAATTACGTACGTGTATGTACCATTAGCGTACATAAGACCTTCTTTTTTCTGGACGGCGTTGTCGTAATTCCATAGCGGCTCGAAGAAATAAAACATTTTGGAATTTTTGTTGAACTGCTCGCCTAGAAAGGAAGACCCGGTTCTATAGTAGGCCAATAGTAGTACGCGGGTTGTCGGGCGTGTTGATGGGGATGCGAAAGNAAATTTTATTCTGTAGGCAGAAACGAGAGAACCATGTACCAATGCAAAAATAAATAAATAGATAAATAATTAAAGAAAGAAAATTAAATTAAAAAAGGTAACTGGATGCGTCATCCTACATCACTCAAGAATAAGAAAACTGGATGAATTGATATGAGAGCCATACATTATTTCTGATAGCTAAACATATTTCACTTGGACATTTATAATATTCAGAGACGAAGCAATTATTTCTGCGAATTTCTCTTTTTGCTTTTTCCCACGACTATCCACAATCCAACAAATTTAAAACATTGTAATGTAAAACACGACACTCCCCTATTGAGTACTTTATTTGCTTTTCTTTATTTGTTTCTTTAATGACGGTATTAAAAATTATGAAATGAAAAACTATGGGTAAAACAAAATAGATAATGTACATTTTTTGTTTTTGTTTTTTTATTTAAAAAAATAAAATGAGGGCTTTAGAAATCGTATCTTTTTCTGAGGTGTTTATATTTTAAGAGGCCTAGTTCCGAATATAATTCCGAACACGCCTCATCGACAACTCCCGCCAAAGCGGGATCTATTTTTAGCATCCACGCATGCGCAGTTGCATTAGGATCTTTCCTAGAAGTCCCCATAAATCCAGTGTCAACACCTCCATTTCTGGAATTTCTCTGCAAGTTTGTCCTTAAGTTTCCTGGCAGTTCTAGTCCCAAAAAATCATAAATGTGAGTAGTTGTTTCATACGGATATTCGGCGAAATCTTCATACTGTACTTCTAAGATCCGCCTTGGAAACATTTTCTGCAGTTTATTTCTAGCGTGAATATCACGTAACATCATGAGGCAAATGTTGCTCGCGAAAAAGTCAGGGTCGAACACCATGCCTTCCGTTAAAGTCATTTTAGCGGACAAAATTTGGCCTCTCGGGTCCCGCAGTAAATGTACGACTTTAAGTCCCGGATTCTCACGCAAAAGAGACTCCACCTGCCACATTCGGGTACGTATAGTTTTTACGACAGTCACATCGGATTGCTTGCACACGTTTTCAATAATGGGGACACATTTACCGTGTCCGAAACCTGTGTTTTTGTTAATGCATTCGTAATATGTGCTATTTTCTAATTTTCTGTGACGTCCCGGCCAAGTAACGAAACTGTGGGATTCTATCATTTGCTGTCCATTTCGTGACGTTTGAATCCGGGATCCAGTTAAGATCTGTAGAGGGATAGCGTGCATCCGGCAATTCAAGAGATCGTTAATTATAGCGATATGTTCCTCATATTCCTTTCCATGTTTCGGTGGAATTCTAGAGGAGAGATAAGAATGGAAATTGAATACATTGCATCAATAATAGTAAATTATACTAGTACTTTACAAAATTAACTTAAATTGACTTAACCTGTCTCTTTCTTTACTCATTTCCTTGGATCTAACATTTACTTTTTATACTACAATGTAGTACTTAATATTAATTGCGCACACTAACATGTACGGGTTTCATTACGTGTTATTCAACACTCTTCAATGTTTAACTGTACCTGTGGAATGACTAGTTACTTTATGTGCAAGACTAAAATAATAAATTACGTACGTGTATGTACCATTAGCGTACATAAGACCTTCTTTTTTCTGGACGGCGTTGTCGTAATTCCATAGCGGCTCGAAGAAATAAAACATTTTGGAATTTTTGTTGAACTGCTCGCCTAGAAAGGAAGACCCGGTTCTATAGTAGGCCAATAGTAGTACGCGGGTTGTCGGGCGTGTTGATGGGGATGCGAAAGAGATTGTGGGAAAAGTCCCTGAAATTTATAAATAAATGGTGCAATTATTGTTATTATTATTATTATTATTATTATTATTATTATGATGATGATGATGATGTGAGGTCTCTAAAATAAAATGAAAAAAAAAATGAGGACCATTTTTCTAAATATTAAGAGTGCAGGGACGGACATTCTCATTTTATTATTATCATTATTATTATTATTATTATTATTATTATTTAATTTTTATTTTCATTATTCTTATTTTTTATATCATTATGCTTCCTACACTTTTGTAGGGGGGGGGGGAGACCTACAGGTGTAGCAGAAAGGGAGAATCTACGCGTACGAATTAAAGGAGGTGGAAGATGTCCACTATGATCCCTTCCCCCTGGTTCCACCACTGTACTACCTGTTTCATTGGCCTAAACTCGCGTGTTGATACAAATTTATCAGCAGCGCGTCAACGCATCACAGTGGAGTCGTTGGCTTAGTTGTATTCCCAATTTAAGCACCAAGCGTCGAGAATAGTGTCTCTGGTATATGATTGGCCAAAGTTCCGTTTATACTTGATATACAACCTGATTTCCCCGGTATAAGCATTTTTGTGTCATGTTTTACAGCATGAAGGATTCTCTATCTACATGCGTCACCGTTAACATTACAGTTGTGTATAAAATAAACCCGTTGACACGCGCACACCTGCAGGTACAAGTACTCCCACTCTCCCCTCAATTCTCTCCCTAATCTCTCTCTCTCTCTCTCTCTCTCTCTCTCAAACACACACAAACATACACACACGTTAATTTTAAGAAAATGAGATCTCAAACTGTCTATCCTCACCGAACTTTCTCACTGTATACAGTGTACATGTAGTCAGTCCTACCTTTCTGATAATACAGACTCCATACCAGCACCACCAAAAGCAGTAAACCTGGACAACACAGCACAACAATTCTCCTCCATCGTCGTAGCATCGTGTCCCCCGCCCCACATTCTGAGTCACAGTACATGGCTATCACTTTGATCTGGACACAAGAAGAATTGCACTATACGGACGATTTAACACGGTCCGGTGGGAAGTCAACTTGAACGTCGTTTAAGCCCAGAACGATGGTGTTGTCTCGTACGGGATGGCCGCCACGGTGCATCTGAGCATCTCTGAATATGCATATCGAGGCTGACAGGCGGAGATTTTTGATAGCCCATTAAAATGCATTATCTTGATGAAGAAGGCTGCCGAATGGAATGCAATGTTAGCCGTGGTAAGTATCCGGTAGATATTTTTGAGGTATTTTAACCTTATTATTTCTGTTTATATAAATTAAGAAGTGTTAATTGTTACGCACCATGGTACAGATAATAAGTACTTGTGCGTTAACGAAAATGAAAGTCGAGTGGGGCTAAAATGCACAGAAAAAATTACCTGCGCCCTGTTTCACAAACATGGCTTTAGCCCAAAAATATACTTGTCAGTAAAAAAAATGTAGTCTACTTTTAACCAAGAAAGAACACGTACATTGTAGCTGTCCATTTAAATGAGACATCCCGACTATTTTATTACAGTAAAATCTTTGCTGATGATTCAGTCCTATACTTACAGTGTACTTTATGTATCTAAACTGTCATGGATCTAACTTGATGTTAAAAGTAGACCAAATATATGGTGTGCAAGTTAAGACAAATTTTCGGGCTAATGTACATTTGTGAGTCGTACACTTGTGGTTAGAACAACTAAAAATATCTGTATTTGTCACCTCTGTAGCAGACAGTGTATTTTTATGTTGGTGTCACAGCAGTAGGGACGTGTTTTCTTCATTGTCATTAACACTTTAGTATATCAGGGCGATCTCTTATTTACATGCAGGGTCCTACACGCTGAGTAGAAAACTAACCGGTGTCACTCGAGCGTTGAGCTTAATTGATAATATGGCGCATGGTAGGTGCTGTGTATTAATTGAGTCAAGGGCCTACCGAACACGTGATACGTGTACATAATATTTTCTGCTGTAAATATTGTATTGTATTTGTCAGAACTCTTCATTGGTAAATTCAGGATTTTTTTCTGGGGTACGGGCACTTGTTTTTTGGTTGTTTTAGGAGGCAGAAAGGGGTAACCCCGAGGCAAATGGGTACCCAGTTCATGCTCTCTTCGTCGTTCCGCCATTCCTTTGCGCGGACACCTAAATAGATGTTGTCTTTCAAATGTGTAGGCTACATCCATTCATTTTGGACACTTTATAACACGCATTATGTGACCGCTAGACTTTTTACACTTAAAGGCACGATGAACTAGATGGCAAATGCGGGTCTCATCCTTAGGTTACTTGGTGAGTTAAGATGTCAAATACAAGCAGACAAAGGATAAAAATCAACATTATTTGTCAGCTGAATATTTTGGCAAGTGGAATAGCTGATGCATGTAAAATATACCTGCATGCAAATAAACGCACGCCCACGCACAGAAGTAACGAAACAGTCAGACACACACGCACGAGCACGCGCGCGAGCACACACACACACACACACACACACAGAGAGAGAGAGAGAGAGAGAGAACGGTATTTTAACAACAAATAATTTAGATTTCCCTAGCTGATGCTTTTCCATTAATATTTATAATGAACACAATTAAACGATAGACACATGTACATGTTTGTAATCTAGAAGCAAACTGTACATGTAGGGCGCTAAGCATGACCCATATAAAGCTTGTGTTTTATTTAACGCACAAAGTGCTGTGTAAAAAAGCAGATAACTGTATTGCAAGTTGACTGCTCTGATTGAACTATTTGTACAGAAATATTAACAAATGTCTCAGTGGTATTTGCTTGTTCACGGAGCGGGATGTGGAATTAAATATCCTAAAGCTTTTCAAAATTGTAAAAGGGTCTGCTGAGGGTCGCGAATGTATAAGGTACATGCATGTAATTATGTAGGAATTTATGCAAATCATTTGTGAAGTCCTTACAGAAATATTATATTTCACAGACGTAAGTAACACTACAGAAGCTCTTTCCCCTCATTTTCTATTCCCTTTCCCTTCTTCTCTGTCCATCTCAACCACACGCACCCTTTCATTTCTCTCCCTCTCAATTCACCATTTCGTGCATCAGAATATGTCATTTAATATAGACAAAAGAAGCATCCTTTAATATATTGGTCATCATTTTCAAGTAGCCCACAGATACGCACCATTATACTCTTGTGATAAATTAGGTCGATGTAGTTATTTAACATGTGGGTAGCAAATGGGCAGACTTTTTAATATTAATAGAGATAACATTATCTGGTGTTTACTGAAGAATAAAATGCAGCATTCTTTGTCATTTGATTTCCGTGCAGCAAAGAGTCCAGTGACGCATTTCGGAACTGAAACTGTTTTAATTTAGAGCCGGTACGGGTTTACCTTGCACATGGATCCCGAAACACAGAGGCGCTCTTATGTTATGAAATACATCTTTGAATTAGCACATCTTAATGTTTGAAATACGTGACATGCATTGCACTCCGGCCAAGTCAGTGCCTGCATGTATTTTCATGTCCTAAGTAGGGAATCTGCGTACAGTACAGTGGTTGTATTTCAGGTCCTATGATCGGTGTACAAGGCGCGCTTTCAGTGTCTGTCGACTTCCCGTAACAATACAGCAGTACATGCAGACAGAGGACTTTCTTTCATGTCTAAATGGAAAGACAGAGAGAAGTAAAACTAAGATGGAGAAGGATGATAGGAGGATATAGGAGCAAATATATTGTCTAAAAAAAACTTTGAAGGTTGTCAAATTTCCAAAAGGATTAATGAGACGATGGTGTTCTTCAACTCAATTTAAAAGGATTTTATTAATTGTTTTTTTTTAGTTTAAAAAAGCCTGAATGATCCCCAAATGAACTATTGGAGATTGGAAAAATTTAAGTGGATTACAAAGCACCCAACAGAAACTAAAACTATATATTCTTGGACACAGTTTGTGCGACTTCGATCGATAAAAGAGGACAGAGGAAGATTTTTTTTTCATTTAACTATGCCTTCTTGCAATAGACGATACGCCCTGGTGTTTGGCACTGGCATTATCCTAGTTAGCATGGGCCTAATAGGTACGAAGTGGTCATATTTAGGTAAGTATTCTGGGTAAACCTAAACATATGTCAGCATACGGACTGGGGGAAATTCTGTGTGTGTGCGTGTGTGTGTGTGTGTGTGTGTGTGTGTGCGTGCGTGCGTGTGTGTTTGTGTGTACTCCCCTAATATTGGCCAAAATCGCACGACACGCACGAACACAGAGAGAGAGAGAGAGAGAGACGGCTCACTTGGCGTCACATTTAAAGCCTGGCGGGCACAAATCGCTTCAAGGATTTGCTTCATACCGTCAGAATGGCCTCAACAGAACATATTCTTCAGAAAACATGCCCAACTAACGATATCTTTATCCAAATACACAAATTAAAAGCTCATTTTGTAAATTTTTGGCTTTAAAAAACGTCCTATTTGCTCGGCCTGGGAGTTAATGAGCTACGTGGTCACGTGGTCCGATGACGACAATCGAGCCACTGGAGAACAGAGCGTGCTTAGCTGTCAAACTGAGCTGCATTGTCTGCCTGTAAGATGACCTCTCTGGCTTCTGATAAAAGTTAATACTCATTCAAATCTCTTACCAGAGGGATCTAAATCCTCATGAAGCTGTGTAAAACCATTCCCGTCTAGTCAATTCTTTAACAAGCATTTAATTATGGTTATCCCAAGTTGTATAAAACACTGCATTTGAATGAGTAAAGGA